GCTCATACCACAGGGGTGTAACAGAATGTGGGAAACCCTCTCCATATTTGAATAAAGGGCAAATAGATTTAATAAAGGGCAAATTTGCCCATGCTCTTTCAGAGACCCTCTGACTATATCCTTGTCTGGGTCCATGAGGGTCTTTGTGCATCTCTGAGCATTCATGAAGATTCTGTTCCTGCAAATGGGAAATGACAAGTGACAAGATCAGGACATAGACTGAATGGTGCAGGCAGGACAGAACAGCACCACTGGCAGCCCATAGAGGTAAGCACTGTATTTTAGCTTTATTTTCCCCCTTTTTCTGGCTGCTAGGAGAAAGGCTAAATTTATATCCTAAGGCAGTCACAGGTTAGAGAGTAACTGAGGGACTTTACAATGGAAATAGTCACTGTTGTCTTTGATTACTCCTTAAAGGGGTGATACAGGAAGCCTGTGCTTGTACACTTCCCATGTTTTGTCTCACCCTCCACCCTTCTTGATCCCTGCCTCTGATACTAGCGGTGTTGCAGCCACAAGACTTTGTTGTGTTAATCAATGACTTTCCAGCAGGGAAGGCAAGGATGTTTCATTTCTAAAACATACTCTTCTTTGTTTTTCTGTATTTTCCTTTTTCTTTTTTCACTTCTGATTATGATGTGTGAATGTGGGATTTAATATGAGGGATCTGAGGACATGCCACTCCCCTGTGTTTGTGACTCTGTAGTCTCCTCAGAAATGCACAAATATCCCTGGTTTGGTTTGTTCTTGCAAATCTGTCTGAAGACAACTCATATCCCTCCCATTTAAGCTTACGCCTTGAACGTAAGGCAGATTTAATGCTCCTTTTGATTCAGAAAGCTGAACAAAGGCCAATAGCCATGGCTGTCACATGTTCAGGTTCTTTCAATACCTTGTGTTTGCAACCCCAAACGAGAGAAAAACAAGGAGGTTTGTCGAGAGCAGGGCTTCCAACGCCAGTCTTAGGGGCTGGTGAGACTCAAGGGGGTGTGGGTCGTCCTTCAGTTAGTCAGTCACTTCATGTCCTGGAGGCCCCTTGAAAAGATGGAATACAGGCATTAGCTCACTCTGAAAGCCACCTAACAAGCTATTTCTGAGGCAGTAAGGGGAGTGTTTCCGTTTATTTAGTGGCTGAGGCAAAATGATGAGGAGTGGGGCAAAGGAATGTATCCAGCTGCTGACTTCGCGGTGCACAAACAGGGAGAGGGATTTATCAGATTTTGATGGGAAGGGGGGGAAATCATGGAAAGAGTCTGATCTACTCTTGAGTATAATCAAAATTAAATTGTACCAATGCTGTGCATTTTCAGAACATTTCCCCCCTTCTCCTTTAAAGAAAAGCCCCTCATAAGAACTGCAGATGAAAGTATTGCTTGTGAACAATCGTGTGTGCTGTGAAGCAGAATGAGGAGCAGGCGGTTCTCACCCTTGCCCTCCTGGAAGAGTGTCCCTCATAGAAAGCCCTTTGTTTTCGACATTTTGCATGCCCAGCGCATGGCATGAGAACTGTATTCATTTAATAAGCCAGCCCCATCTCCTCAGGGTGGGAGAACAAAAACCCCTGAAAGGACGGTGGCAGGCAGCAGGGCATTGAAAGGTAGTTCCCTCAGAGCACACAGGCATGGCTGCCATAGGTGGGTGGACAAAGCGGTTGTTCTGTTTGGTTGGGACAGTCAGTGGTGCCAAACAGGCCATGCCAAATTGTCCATCACAGCTTGGAGGCTGTTGCCCAAATGTTATTCACTTGAGAAATGCTTGTCTCTGGGTAATGCTTTAAGTCGGACACTGAGGTTTCCGGGGCATGAGAATTTCTCAGTCCTGGAAAGGGAATAAAAGGCCACTTCCATTCTCTGCGGGCAAGAAGAGACTCTAAATTCCCTCTCTGTCGGCTCTTCTTTGTTTTTAGTCCAGATACTGTCTTAGATCCAAGCCAGCCCAAACAAAAGCTGATTATCTCACCTTTTAAATAGAGGGATTGCTGTAAGCATACGAAGCTGTGGCGAATCTGTGGGCTGCACTTGACCAGCTGAAAATACAGGGTTGCATGCAAAATACAAGAGAAAGGAGAAGCAAGGGTAAAAAAAGGACTCAAAACTGAAGATGGGTGATCATTTCAGCCTTTTGTGCTTTGATGTGTGGGATAGTTTCTAGCCATTTGTATAACTTAGAGGTATTATCCACAGGCAGTACGGACATGGATGTGTTGGTTTTTTGAGAACTGTGTAATCCTAATGTTTTTACACCCACAAAGAGTCTAACCAGTGGCAGAATTCTAGGACAAAATGTACCTGTTATGAGCAATTTGCAACTCTTTTCCTCCCATTTTACAAATCAAAATAATTTCTAGCATTTGCTATTCTTCTACTTCCTGCATGGAAGGCAGCCCATCTAGGAGAAGGAAAACTCCGATTTCAAACCTCCACTGCCTTGTGGCTATATCCACTCATGGAAAAGGATTCAGGAGTTAACCTCAAGGCAAAATCTGGAGCTGGAGTCCCAAAGGCAGCATGTGTCGTTCTGCCAACTCCTGCGACGTTGCTGGAACCAGTTGTATTGGCTCTTGCCTTTCCATTGGACCATTTCAGCAATGTGGAGAGGGGGGATCTGCTGCTTGGGTAACAGCCTATCCTCCATATTACCTTACCCGGGCTTCATGCTCTGGAGAGGACACTCCTCGATTCAGAGTATGTTACCATAGTCTCTCAAGACTGAAGGATGCCTATGTACTTCCTGCAGTTCCAAATTTTGATAACGTTGAAAGCTTGAAAATTACTTTTATTTGTTTATTTATTTACGACTGCAACTCTGAAAAACTCCCATCTAAATGCTTCACACCAAAATGTACCCTTTCTAAACTCTGGTCCCAGAATTATAGACAAGCTATCATTTTATTTAAAAGAGAAAACTTTGGGTGGTAAAGTATGTTTATTGCTGTTGTTGTGATGTGCCATCAAGGCGTCTCCAATTTATGGTGATTCTATGAAAGGATGACCTCCAAAATTTGTTTCTTCAATAGCCCTGTTCAGCAACTCTAAACTCAAGCCTGTGGTTCTTTTAAGGAGTCAATCCATCTCAGTTTTGTCATTTTTGTTTCCAGAGGAAGTTCAGGCTTGATTTGATCTAGTACAGTGGTCCTCAACCTTGGGCCTCCAGATGTTCTTGGACTTCAACTCCCAGAAATCCTGGCCAGCAGAGGCAGTGGTGAAGGCTTCTGGGAGTTGTAATCCAAGAACATCTGGAGGCTTAAGGTTGGGAACCATTGTTCTAGTATCAAATAGTGACAAGGAATGAAAACCAGGGTTTGGGGCACTGAGTGGCTCCTGGCATGGAAAGACATACCTGTAGGACTATGTGACATATCTGGGGTAACAGGGGAAACTACAGAGGGCATTTCAGGGTGGCTAATGGAAACTGAGCAGGGGAGTGGAACTGGTAAAACCTCTCCTTAAATATATCACATACCTAGAAATCCCTATTATGGTTGCTATAAGTCGGTTTGAACTTGAAGGCACAGAACACACACACACAAACACACACACACAATGGGAGCAAAGAAACAGTTGCAACCAAATAAATGGAAGAGCTGAAGGGTATTATGTGTGCAGTATGGAAACAGTGTCACAGCTGGAAGTGCATTCAAATAATTTTCAATGGGTTTGGGTATCATTAACATAATTGACAAATACACAAGAGCAAGGAAATGAACCACTGAGCAACACTCTCCTCCACAAATGAGTTGCCTTTTGCTGCTTCAGGCCTCTAGTGTGGCAAGCAGTAATAAAAGGAAAGAAGACTTCTCAAAGGGGCACCTGCAGAACAACCACGTAATGCATGGAAATACAAAAATAAACTATGCTTAATTGTCCTATCATCCATGTGATGACTATTTACAGTAATGGGCAAGCCCAGATGAGGTGAAAAAGGGGATTATTCTCATCAGATTCTTCTTTTCAGCTATGGCTTACTTCAATCATATCTTGAACCTACAATGTGTTGTCCACATAATGAGCACTTTATGGGACTGGCTGAAAGATGTACAAAGAGCCTGATGTACAAAGTCTCTTTCAATTATTTCCTCCTAAAGTACTAGCACAGAGATGCTCTGGCCTTTAACACCCTGGAAAGGAGAATCTATGTAAACAGCAGTATTTGTGTAGCAGTTTTTATTCTTCCAGAGACTCTATCATGAGCTACTGTCTCGTCGCAGCATCAAGCCAGAAGTCAACATTTGCCTTTTTAACCCGCACATTTTCTCATTTCTGTATCATGTGAACACCAGATAGATATCTGTGTGCCTTTCATCTACACTCCACCAGAAAATGTTTACATATTTTTGTATGCATATTTTCTTAACATATGCTTTTCTTTTTGGCAAGTAACTTCCCCTGTCCTTTGTATGCTATTTCCCCCACATATCTATTTTTAATGCATAGGAATACCGCACTACAGAATTTGGAGTGCTTTTCTTTTTGGCAAGTAACTTCCCCTAATATATGTCCTTTGTATGCTATTTCCCCCATCTATCTATTTTTAATGCATAGGAATACCGCACTACAGAATTTGGAGAACTGTGAAAAACAAGAGATAATTACATTGTGAATCATGTATTAATTCAGGATTAAGTTGTTTCATATTAAAATGCAAACCAAATTAACCATTTCCTTGTATTTTTTTTAATATCATGTTTAAAACAAAGTTTGTGATTGTTCATTAGTTGTTGTTTTAGAAAAGTTGGAACAAAAAAGAGATGAACAAGGTTCTCAGTAATCTGTGGTGGCCATATGAAACACATATACCTGTTTGCAGCATAGAGAGGAAAATTCTATACCTGCCTGCCATGTCAGAAGAAGATGTGTTTAACTTAATTGAGTGCCACAAACATGGTTAAACAAATGGAGATCCAAAGTCAGATTTTAAAAGGTAAGAGGCTTAGATGCACGAACATGATGATGCTCCTTTCATATTCGAAAAAACAACAACTCAAGTTCTCTCTATCCCAGATAAGCACCTGGGGAGATGTTGGCACCTTTCACCAACCAGGAAGATGAAAGTAAACAGTGTGGACTGGAAGAGACTGCCAATTTGATGCCTCTATCTTCTTTGGCAGCATCAGGTATGAATTCAGCCTGAGCTGGATATAGAATGCTTTGAATGTAACAAGAAGGTTCCTATGAAAAGACTTAGCCCATTGTGCGGAGAGACTGGATTTTTTTTTAAAAAAAAAGTAAGACGTTTTATTCTCAGCCCTTTCTTTACAACAATGCCCTGTTTGATCTTCAAAAAAGAGTGCGATAAAACCTCAAAGGTTGTCATCTACTCAACAATACTACCTGGTTCAGTATACAATTGGCTGATCATAGTGTGTTTACTAGGGCATGGTGGTCTTCTGCAGTGGTACCCTTTTCTCTCCACTTCAAGGACCCGGAACACTTCATCCATATACTTCATGATCAATATTCTGTCTTACAGCAAGACCCATCTTAGTTTTTATTTTCGCTTCCTCCCCCTGCCATTTTGTAATTCTTAAACAATTAGCTTTGGCATGATACTAAGCAGTAGTATCAGCAAGATCACTATTAAATATGAAATTATTTCTTATTTCAGAAGCTGCGGTAAACAGTCAGAAATCAGAGTGCATCTGAAGTTTATGGGGTTTTTTTTTGGTGAAACTTAATGTGATTGCAACAGAGACGGAAGAGGTTCTGTGAGTTTAATGAAATGTGTTCTTTGATTATAGTAAGCTTATGGTACCACCTGATTACTGATTGCCATCTGCTGGTGTCTTCAGTGCAAATGGTACAAACAGCTACAGAAATCTTCCTTAAGTTTCCTTCATGATTAGGTTATGGCCATGCATGAATTTAAAATAGGAATTTTAAAGAAAATGCTAAAAGGATTTGGCCTTCCTCTCAAAATCTAGTCTATTTCAGAACAACTTAATTAACAATTTAGTGAATTAAATGTTTCCATCCCCCCAACAGCAGCAGTGATTATTTAATCTCCCCGTTTCTAACAGTTATCAGCAATCCATCAACATTTCTAACAGCTAAGGTAAGCATTTGCGCATTTACTCACAAATTTAATATTTCAAGCTGTGGCCCCTCAGCATCTGGAAGACCACATGTTGCTTTCCCATGTGGTAGGACCATAAAGGCCTCCTGGTCATATTTGGTCTGCTTCTGGACCACCATTAAGCCTCAGTGATGTGTGCTCACCTACCACAGCCACCTCTCAGAAGAGGCTTGCTTCATGTGCCCCTTCTTTCATTCTTATAAGTCCAAATTTCCCACAGCCAGGCCACAGTCCCTGTGGCAGTTCTGTTTTCTCTGTAAAACTGCCTCAATGACCCTACTGTGACAACAAATAGTAACTCTTTTAGGTTATTTCTAAAATCTGTTTTACATATAATCAGAGAGATCAGAACATAGTAAAAGGATTATTTCCACTCTCACCGTGCTTCCCCTTTCAGCCAAAGCTCCAGGATGCAGTAGACTTTAATTCGTGCTCATGACAAGTACACATGGAAATCAAGGATTGCAGGCAGCAAGTGAGCCTGTGTGCGTGTGGCATCTGTCACGCCTCCGAGAAGCACAACTCAAAATCTCTCTCTACAGAGAATAGAAAGATGTCACTTGCCATTAATTTGAGGGAAGCAGTGTCACAGCATTCTCTTTCCTCTGATCTTAAAGCATTTTGTAGCATTTAATAAAGTGTAAAGGGCAGCTGCTTAATTGGAAGGATTTGTGCAGTTCTTAAAGGCTTTCTAATTGCAATTGTAACCTCCCTCAGGCTCTGTTCCCCTGTCTTGATAGACTTTGCAAATGTATCCTTCTCGTTTAAATGTGTCACCAAAAGATGGTGTTAGTGGTGACAATAGAATTCTTGATAGGAGTGACCTGAAAGCACTCAGAGGTTTACTAATCCCATAAAACACAATGATTCATAGATGATGTTGGGTTTATCTCACCTTGGATATAACATATAGCCAAACAGTTTACAATCAATGCCTGCAAATTTCTGCTCTCAGCTTATAGAGAGCTTATACGCCAATTCTGTTTGTCCCAGGCTGAGGTCCATGTGGACTTTGCTGCCTCCAATCCAAGACATAATATTTGTTTGTGATCAGAGATAAGCCTCTGATGCTGAGTGACCTCCAGGATAATGCATGGATTCCTTTTAACTTCCCTGTCATTTTTATTTATTATAATGCTCCACTGTTTGCTAAAATCCCAATAAGGTACTATATTACAAAGATAAGGCTTTATGTAAGATGGCATTTTTATTCACAGAAAGGGATTGCATCCAAAGCCAACCTTAAGACTTCTCTTCTAATGAATATATATGTTATATGGTTATCAAGAAAGCTGATTGTAAGTATAGAAACACAATTGCAATACAGGGACACATTGCTCCCATCCTAATTCAAATTCTACATGCCCCGAGAAAGCTGCTATCCCATATTATCTCTGGTAATTTGTTGTTGTTTAGTCGTTAAGTCATGTCCGACTCTTTGTGACCCCATGGACCAGAGCATGACATGCCCTCCTGTCTTCGACTGGTTCCCGGAGTTGGGTCAAATTCATGTTGGTACCTTCGATGACACTGTCCAACCATCTCGCCCTCTGTCGTCCCCTTCTCCTCTTGCCTTCACACTTTCCCAACATCAGGGTCTCTTCCAGGGAGACTTCTCTTCTCATGAGATGGCCAAAGTATTTGAGCCTCAGCTTCAGGATCTGTCCTTCCAGTGAGCACTCAGGGTTGATTTCCTTCAGAATGGATGCATTTATTTTCTTTGCAGTCATACTCTTTTCCCAATTTTGAACCAATCAGTCGTTCCATAGCCAGTTCTAACTGTTGCTTCCTGTCCCACGTATAGGTTTCTCAGGAGGTAGATAAGGTGGTCAGGCACTCCCATTTCTTTAAGAACCTGCCATAGTTTTCTGTGGTCCACACAGTCAAAGGCTTTTGCATAGTCAATGATGCAAAAGTAGATGTTTTTCTGGAACGCTGTGGCTTTCTCCATAATCCAGCGCATGTTAGCCTGTTAGTTTTTAAAATCATTTCATCCAGGTATTACCAGAGATAATGCTAATCGCATGTTAGCATTATCTCTGGTAATACCTGGATGAAATGATTTTTTAAAAAACTGACACAAAGAATAGTTTGCTACCACTACCAAATAGCAGAGAAGGGGGCATTTGAGGTCCCTGGTGTAGGCTGGAAATGGTTCCTCTCTGTCATGACAATACCCTTGCTCAGATGGCCCTGCAACTCTTTTTAAGGGTGCAATCAGATGGCTGCAGAGGTGTATGTCTGAACATACTAAAAAGGGTTGCTTTGCCAAGAGTGATCTCTTTCAAAGTGACCCTTCTGTCAGTTGGATACTCGCCCCAATCCAGCCTCCAGAAGTAGTAGCCCTACTCCTGGACCAAAAAGGCCCAGCTTAAATACATATTGAGTTCAGGCTGGTGTGTTACTCCATGTACGTTATGTGATTACTAGGAAAGAAAGACCCAGACTCACCTGGGTCCCGCGTTGTGCCCAGAGTGATAGCCCTGCCTCCCAAGCTCCCCTGCAGCTCCGTAATGGTGGCACCCACATGGCAGGCTGTGAGGGAGCCTGGGAGAATGACGGCAGGGGTTAAGGATTGCGCTGGCAGCCAGGGATTGGATGGCACAACTGGGGCGGGACCAACTGCAACCCCCGCAAATAAATGTGGGACACTCCTGGGACAGAGTTGTGGAGGCCTCGGCAGCATTCACTTTCTCCACCCACCCAGTGCTTGGTACAATTAAAGAGTTAAGAACGGTTTATATTAGATGTGTGGTTTGTTATTGCAACTCAGTTTGTATCCATGCCACAGCTTTGCTGGTGATTTGGGAACATTGGGGATGGATCTGAAAGGATGATAGAGGGCAGGCGGGGTCCTGTCCGCTGCTGTTGCTGAACCCCCTCCCTTTGGGGGGGGTAGAGGCAAGGACCAGAGCAGCCCCAGCTTGGGGGGGGGGCAGGGCTTTGCTTTAACCTTGGGTGACAGGGAGCCACAAAGTGGTATATGGTCTCAAAGGAACTGTCACCCCAGGTCAAGGCAAGGACCAGAGCAGCCCCAGCTTGGGAGGGGGCAGGGCTTTGCCTTAACCTTGGGTGACAGGGAGCCACAGAGTGGCATATGCCTGCGTGGTCTCAAAGGAACTCTCACCCCAGGTCACCGGAGAGGTCTGGGAAGTGGTGGCTGCATCAGTGACCCACTTGGGCCTCCCAATGGAACCGGATCTGACCCCAATGCTTAACCAGGGGAACAGTGGATGGAATTCAATTAATAAAGTTGTGGCCTTTTAATTCCAGTTTAAAGTGTGCAGTGTGTTTATTGTCTGGGGGAGGTACCGGGCCGGCTTAGCTATAGGCCCACAAATAGCTTGGACCGCAACACTCCAGAAGTAGTCCAAAATACAAGGTATATGCCCATGTGATCACACCCTTAGAGACAAGAGGAAACCATGCATGTAATTAACTTGTAGTTTATCCAGTAGTCCATTCAGTTGGTTCACTACTATACTGTGTACAGATAATTTCTGGATTCCGCACCAATGAAACATTTCTACCAGGTGCGCCCTGAAAGGGAGCCTAAAAGCAATCCCAAATAGATAAAACTATTTTTTAAAGACTTTGGCTCCCCTCTCCAGTGAACCACTTACATTTAGATACAGCCGCATATTACCTGTATAACAATATAATCAGTTCTTTGATATACGGAAGTACTGTAAGAGTGAGAATTCATAGTGCAATAAACAAAGACCCTTGCCTGTTATCTGAACAAAAGCTCATTATATTTTCTGTTTCATTTCTTATTTCAGGAAAATACTAAATTCAAAAAAGAGAACAGCTTCAAAATTTTAGCATAGCCTTACCGATTAAAACTGACCCTTTCCAATTATAATTGGCCTCTATCAGTTTGGAGTATCCCTGACTGTCAGTTCCACTGATTAAAATTTGCCCTCACCAATTAAAATTGGCCCCATCAATTAATCAACTAAAGTGTTAATTGATTAATATACCAATTAAGTTGCAAACCTATGGTTTTCTGTTGTCAGGTCTTGGAAGA